GGGTATTATTGGCCGACAATGAGAGCTGATGCCGAGTGTTACGTCAAGAAATGTGAACAGTGCCAGAAGTTTTCCCCTTTAACTCGTTTGCCTGCTGAAGAGTTAAGCTCTATCACCAGTCCTTGGCCGTTCGCTCAATGGGGACTTGATATCATTGGACCATTGCCGAGGGCCCCAGGGAACAAGCGATTCTTAATCGCCGCGACAGATTACTTCACAAAATGGGTCGAAGTGGAAGCTTTAATACATATACGAGATGTCGACATTAAACACTTTGTATGGAGAAACTTCATAACACGGTTCGACATTCCGAGAGCTCTCATCTCAGACAATGGCACCCAATTCAACAAAGCTTGCCCCAAAGACTATTTTCCTCTACCCAGAATCGACCAGCTTGTCGATGCGACGGCACGCCATCAATGCATGAGCTTCCTCGATGCTTACAGAGGCTACCATCAAATTGCCATGCATCCAGATGACTAGGACAAGAGGAACCTACTGTTACAAAGTTATGCCTTTTGGGCTGAAGAATGCAGGGGCAACCTACCAAAGACTGGTCATCGCCATGTTCAAATAGCAACTCGGCCACACTATGGAAGTATACATCGACGATATGGTGGTCAAGTCCAAAGAAGAACAGAATCATATAGCCAATCTAGAAAAGACATTCAGCATCTTACGCAAATACAGAATGAAACTGAACGCTTCCAAGTGTGCGTTCGGAATCAGCTCTAGCAAATTCTTGGGTTACATCGTCAATCACCGAGGAATCGAAGCCAACCCGAGGCAAGTCACAGCAATCTTAGAACTTGGCTCCCCCCATTCAGTTAAAGAAGTTCAAAAGTTGATGGGGATAGCCGCTGCACTCAACAGGTTCATCAGTCAATCTACAGATCGCTGCCGACAATTCTTTCAGACACTACGGCAGGGTAAGGCTTTTGAATGGTCCGCCGAATGTGAAACAGCTTTCAACGGACTCAAAACCTCCTTCCGCTCAGTACCTCTCTTGACACCCCCCGCCGCTGGTGACCCGTTCATTCTATACCTGGCAGTTTCCGATAGGGCCGTCAGCGCCGTACTGCTAAAAGAAGAGGAGGGGGAGCAACAGCCACTGTATTATGTGAGCAAGGCAATGGTTGACGCCGAAACACGCTACCTTTTGCTGGAAAAACTCATCTTAGCCCTAGTCATGGCGGCAAGAAAACTGATGCATTACTTCCAGGGACATAGCATTGGGGTGCTAACAGATTATCCCCTCCGATCAGTACTATAGAGTGCAGAAGCATCAGGACGTGTTTCAAAATGGGCTCTTGAACTCGGCCAATACGACATTCAATTTTTACCTAAAACCGCAATCAAGGGGCAGGTGTTGGCCGACTTTGTTGCCAAATTCACCGGCGAGCTTGCCAACCTCAAACCTGACGAAGTTCGACCAAAGGCTGAAGTTCGACCAAAGCTGAACTGGAGAACTTATGTCGGGGATATTTGGCAATTATACTGTGATGGATCGTCTAACCAAAGGGATAGCGGCACCGGAGTTGTAATCATGTCTCCAGACGGTGCAGTAATTGAGCAAGCCGTCAAGCTTGGCTTCGAAGCATCAAATAACGAAGCCGAATATGAAGCCCTTCTAGCCGGTCTGCGGAATGCGCACATTCTCGGCGCTCGGCGTCTGCTTGTGTTTTGTGATTCAAAATTGGTAATCAGTAAGCTAAAGGGGGAGTACGCGGCAAGAAACGACCGTATGGCGGCCTACATGAAAACGGCCAATTCCTTGCTGGAAAAATTTGACCATCACGAACTGAACCAAATAACACGCGACCAGAACACACACGCGGGTGCCTTGGCATGCCTAGCCTCCGCCATCAATTCTGAGATCAAACGGACCATCGAAGTAGGTTTCATCCCGGAGCCGAGTATTGGCCCTTTGGAGGAAATCCATGTCAACGTTATAGAATCCGCACCAAGCTGGATAGACCCCATTGCTGCATTCCTCCCTTCTGAATAACTCCCAGAGGACAAAAAAGAAGCACACAAGCTGCGAAATAAAACCGTACGATACTATCTGGATCCGCAAGGAGGGCTTTATAAAAAGTCTCTCTCGGGCCCATAT